AACATAATTTAAATTTTTAATAAAAAATATTATTTTAATTTAATATCTTCGTGTCGACGCAAATAATCGTTCAAACTAAACTCGGTTTTACCAAAAATACTGTCCAAAAATATGTTCCTTTAAGTCTGTAAATAAACCTCAAGTATATATAGCCCACGAAGTTTTTTAAATCGATTATTTTTATTTACCTTTTGAATTTTTAATTCCAAAAAATTAATTTTCTCATCTTTTTGTTTTAAGTAAGCATCATTTTCACCTTTTAATTTTTTATTATTTTCTTCAATTAATTGATGAAAGTTTTGTTTTAAATTTTTAATTTCATTTTCATGTTCCTTTTGAAGTTTAAAATTATTATTTTCCAAATTTAATTCATTAATTTTCAATTTCAACTAAAATAAAAATATATTTTTGAGTACAGTAGTCTCTCACTTGTACGACATCTTCGTCCGTATAACACTGGATGATAAAGGTAAGTGTCATACAAATGAGAAATTCTAGCAATTCAATAAAGGAATATTTTTTTACCTCAACGTTTTCCAAACGTTGTTTTAAACTTTCAATTATATTTTGTGAACAAGAAGCACAAGCATTTGATTTTCCCTCCTCAGTCATTTTGTTTGAGGATTATTTAAAAAATATTTTGAAAGAAATTATTATATTTAAATTAAATTTATGTAACACGAAAAAATTTAAAATTTATTTTAAAATAAAGAGAATCCTCTACACGAATATCTAAATAAATTAATCTTTTTAAAAAAATAAACATTAATTTTATTCGATTTACAATAAATCGGAAAAAAAGCCCCATCTAAAACGGTCCGACAAAAAAAAGAATGGAAAAAAACAGATGGGATCAATAATAAATTTAATTTTTATTAACAAAATTTTAACTTAATGGAGAGTTTAAAAACCCTATTCTAAATTATGTAATATAAAAGCGGAAAATGTAATAGTTAGTATACATATGTATGAAGGTTTTTATGTTTTTTATAGTTTAATAAGGAGAAATTTCATCAATGTGACCCAGACATTTATATTGGCAAAATACCGTCCTTCTCCATAAAATATTTGAAAAAAGTATGTCAACTCAAAAATATAATGAGGCAAACTAAAAGATAAACGAAAGGTATACATATTTTTAGGAATTATAATAAATTATTTGAATTTAGGTAATATGTATAATCTGCATTTTTAATTCATTTTTCCGATTTCCTACATTTGAGCCAGGGCTGGGCGAGAGTAAAAAATAAAAAGCGAAATGCGAAACTTTTTCTAAAAAAATAAAAAGCGAATTGCGAAATGTGAAACATTTCGCGCCAAAAAATGCGAGAATGCGAAACGCGAAAGCGAAATTATTTAAAAATTCTAAAAATATTAGTGCATTTTTTGAAGAAGACTCTTCCTAAGATTGCTTATTATTAGTGCCCGGCACCGGACAGGGCTCCAGGCCGGCTTTACCTGAGACCGGTCCCAATCGGATTAATCCAGAAAAATCCGGCCGGGTCCATTTTTCATATTTTTCCATGGACTTTTTAACTTTTCCCTCAAACTTTTCACATTTTGACATACTGATATCCATCTTAATCTCAATCCAATTCCAGAATTGGCAAAAATTTTGGCAATTTTGGAAGAACAACCCACCAGATCTCTTCCTTTTTCAGCGGCGAAGGCGAAAATTTTGGCAATTTTGGAATACCAAGAAGCCAGATTTCTACCATTTTTGTCAATAAATTAGGTAAAAATATTATCGAGTCGGGCCAGATAAGATTAATATTTATAAAACAAATTACAATAGAAAATTTAAGTTTAAAAACATTTATTTTTGGAAGAAAAAATTGTTTAGGTCTTAGTTCCTATGTCTGGATTCAAACCCAACCCCAAAAAACACCACTGTGAACGAAGTCAGTCAACTTAACCACTCCACCATCAACCAACGAAAGCAAAGTGGGATCACCCCAGAATATCGACACCCTAAATATCGCACCCTAAATATCGAGACCCAAAATATAGATGACCCTAAATATCGACACCCAAAATGACGAATTACCCAAAATATCGAAAATTTTTTAATTTCATAATTATGTATTCCAAGGACGGAGAAGTCTTTTTAACATAGGGGAATTGTTCCAACTACAGAGAAGCGATCGAACTGACCATAGCGACCGATCAAGATTCTCCTTGGAGATCAATCACTCTCTTTGATTGAACATATTGATCAGATTTATGTTTTTTCCATTGTTGGAACAATTCCCCTATGTTAAAAAGACTTCTCCGTCCTTGGAATACATAATTATGAAATTAAAAAATTTTCGATATTTTGGGTAATTCGTCATTTTGGGTGTCGATATTTAGGGTCATTCGATATTTTGGGTCTCGATATTTAGGGTGTCGATATTTTGGGTGTCGATATTCTGGGGTGGAGTCAGCAAAGTGATAGATTATAAATATTTCTCTTCCTTTTCCTTTAAAAATTTCTATGTCAAAATATCTAAAAAATGAGAAAATACGACAAGAAAAAGGCGAAACAAATTTCGCATTTTTCGCGCTAAAAAATGCGAACTTTTCGCGCTAAACAATGCGAGAATGCGAAAGATGCGAAATAAGCCCAGCCCTGATTTGAGCCATTTCCTATAGTTCCGGTTTCCAACGCCTTCGTGCTTCCGACGACCGCTAAATGGGAGGAATTTGGAAGTTGGAATTCGCCGCCCCCCCCCCATTTTTTCACCGTTTCTTTGACCATTTTGAGCTTTTCTTGTTTGATGCATAATTTATCATATATCATTCGAAAGAGATCTTCGAGCTTGATCGATTGATAGCATGATTAGCTAGATCTAATCATTCTTACCACAATTATGAAGCTAAATCCTTATTGGGTAAACTTTTTGTGCCAGTGCAAGTAGATAAAAGAAACGGTCACAAATTTGTTCACTTAAGTTTTGTTATCAACTGAAAACTTTAAGGCTAATTTTTTTGTAAATATTGGGGTTATAAGAAAACAAAATTTATCAATGTTAAAAAACAAAATCCATGCACAATTTCATTAAAAAAATCCCACAACTTTATAATATCTATGTATCAACTCATTTTTAAAATTAAATGAGAGGTTTTAATGAAAATATAGTAAATATAAATTTAAACTTTAATCCCTCAAAACATTTTTTATTTTTTAAATTTAAAATATTCCCTCAAAAAATACAAATTAATCCTTTTTCCCTCTGTGTTTTTCTCAACAGACAAATATTCTCCAAAAAACTTTCTCTGGGCAAAAATCCTTCAATATAAGAAGGTGTCGTACAAGAGAGAGAGAGAGAGACGATTTTTATATTGAAAATTTTCAATATCTTTTATTTATTTAGTTACAAATAGATTCTCAAGAGAACCCATTACGTTATAATGGAAACCCTACCTAAGATCGAAAACCATAATTTATTATTTTTTCTGATTTGGCAAAACTTTGGTTTACATATGTGAAACATTTTTATCATTTTTCCATTTCCTTAGAAAAAACGAAGATGTGCTTTTCGATAATTAAGAGGTTTGCAAGGAGGTAATCGAAAGCAGTGATACGGAATCACTGATCGAAAAACCGTTTTAGATTCGGATTGTTTTTCAGTTTATTTGTAAATTGATAAAGTGTTTAAGTATTCGTTTAAGATTCTTTTTAAATTAAAATAATTTAAAATAAAAGAATGGCCGAGGAAGGATTATCATCTACTTGTAGTTCTTGTTGTTTATCACAAAATGTAATTGAAAATTTAAAACAACGTATGGAGCAATTGGAGGTTAAAAATTAGAGTTTATTGAATGACTAGAGAATATGTAATCTCACAAGTACGACACCTTCATATTACTTCTAATTTTTTTGTAAGAAGGTGTCGTACATGAGAGACTCGACAATATTTAAAAATAAATTTATATTTTAGTTAAAATGGAGAAATAATGATCTATCTCGGGAAATTAGAAATTTAGAACTCGAAAAGGCGAGTTTTGTCTAGGAGATATTTTTAATGTTTATTATTTTAAGGAAATCCATAAACTTAAATTTGAGCAACATGAAAATGAAATAAAATATTTAAAACAAGATATTAAACAATTAAAAGATGAAAATGATCACAAAGACGAGAAAATTAATTTTTTGGAGAAAGAAATTAAAGAGGTAATTAAATTTCATCTTTTTTTATATAAAAGTTATGTCAAAAATCTCGATTTTGGGGTTGTAATTTTTTGTAAATAAAATTGAGAAGTAAATAGTTTCTAATTTTTCTTTCATGCTTCCTGTTTGATTGTGGGGGTATTTATGATTGACACAAAAGTTTATCAGCTCTGTTGAACTTATGTGTATTTTTTTATTTTGCTTCGTGAAAAAATACATAAATATAACAAATACAGACCTGAAGTTTGGGAAAATTTTAAATTATTTTTAAAATTTTTAATTATATGTAATATTTTTTTAGTTAATTCAAAAAACAAATTCTGACACTGAAAATAAAATTGCAAAAATATATTCTGAAAATGAAAAAGAAATTAATAATTTAAAACAAACTATTAACCAATTAAAAGCTGAAAATGATCTAAAAAAAGAGAAGATCAATTCTTTGGAAGAAGAATTTAGAAAGGTAAATATGTAACTTAAATTTGTATTTTTGTTAAAAACATTAATTAATATACATATAACTATAAAATAAAAAAGATAGGACCAAGGCTGTTAAATTAGCATTTTTCGCTTATCTCTTTTATTAGCATTTAAGAAAAAATTTCAACACAAAAATTTTAGGTCTTTAAGTTCTCTTTAAAATGGTATACCATCAAATACTTTATCGACAGAATTTTGTCAAAAAATTTTAAACAATACTACTCAATTTTTGAGGTGGAAAAAATATAGGACCAAACTAATTAAAATTAAAAATATCGATTTGTTCACATACATACTATGTATTATAGAATTCTATTTTTAGGCAAATGATTTATTTAAGAAAAAGTTTGATGATATAGACATTCTAATGAACAATGATAATTCTAAATATGTGGTTTGTTTTTTATTATAATTAAATTATCAAATAATTTTTTAAAGAATTTTGTTGAACTTAAAAATAAATGGAGTGAACTTAACCGTGCATGTTATGAAAATACTAGATGTACAAACAAACATACTGGAAAGTGTATCGAAGGGAATGGATATGGAATTATAATTAATGATGAAAATATTAAATATGTGTTGAAGAATGGAGGTAAATTGTTGATATTATTTATATTTTGTGAATCTTTTAAGGCACTAATAAATATGTTTGTGTATATATAGAAAATTCATTCAACAATCCTCATCATTGTTTTGAATATTCTTTATATTATTTTGAAGTTAAATGTATGTTTGAAGGAGAATTTAATAAAGGTGTAAATCATATGAGTATTTATTTTGATGATTGTAATACTATTTATTTTGCAACGGAAGCTAAAATTAAAAACGAGAAATCTGAATACTTTAAACTTGACAATATTTCTTGGAATAATAATGATATTTATGGTTGTGGAGTAGTATATCCTCCAACTAATATGACGAATGAATTTCCTTATATTTTCTTTACACAAAATGGAAAACAAATTGGTAAATAGTTAATTAAATATATTTGTAAAATTGATTTTTAAAGGTAAAGGTATAATATCAACTAAAATTACTGGCTCATACACACCATTTGTTGAAATAAGATGTTGTTCAATTGAAGCAAACTTTGGAAATAATTTGGAGACAAACCCGTTTAAATATGACATTTCAAAACTTTCAGTTCTTAAAGAATTTTATTGAAGAATTTTTTGATTAATTTTATTTTCTGTTTACTCTTGATTAATTTAAATTATCAATCTTTTACATATTTTTTTAAACTTTCAGATAAAACGGCCATTTATATATTTCCATTTTATATAATTTAAAAATAAATTTAAATTCTCTCCATTAAATTTAAATTTTGTTTAAGAAAAATTATTTTTATTTTTTACGAAATTTAACTTATTTTAACAAAATTCAATAAAATAATAATTTGTATGTTTTTAATTTTTGTTTTAGAATGAATTTTTTTAAATTTATTTTTAAATTAAAAAGAAATTATCAATTTAATTTAGGATATATTTTAATAAATCCTGATTAATTTATTTAAAAATTATTTTAAAATCTTACTATTTTATAAAGTTTTTCTTTAAATTATCGAAGGAATTAAAATATATTTTTTAAACTTTATTATCCCTTTTTTCTTTCCTTCCAAATTTTTTTTCAGAATTTATTTAATGCAGAATTTTTAGTGATTTTGAATTCGGGTTCTTTGTATTGGCTTTAAAAATTTATCAATTTCACTCAATTCTCGCTTCTAAAATTTACTCAAGTAATTCCTTATTAAAATTATAATGCTTTCAAAAACAAGTCGTTAGTTGAGAAAAATAAAGGGGGAATTACAAAACTTTAAAAAAGTTGAAATTTCTTTTACTATTTTTTCTTTTTTAGAATCATCACTTACTAGAATTTAAAAATTCAAATTTTCAACAAATTTTTAAATTTTCTTTTATAAAAAAAGTAAAATGTAATAATAATTGTGTTTAAAAACAATTCTTAAAAATATTTGTGTTGAGTATTTAAAAAATTGAATAATAAAAAATTGTGGTCTAAAAAGTATAATTTTCAGTCTTGTTAGATAATAATACGTATTTAAATTTTGTTTGTTTTTAATTAAAAATAATTAAAAAATAATTATATTTTTAGTACCACATTTAAATTTATAAAATTCAAAAAATAATTTAATTTAAATCAATTTACATTTTTATTACTTTTCATCATCTATTTACGAAAGTTGATGTTTTTCTCGCAAAAATTTCGGCAATCCAGGAGAATTGTGGTCCCTGCGAAAAAAAAGTTTAAAAATAAGAAAAAGGGGTTTTCTAGAGTAAAAAAACATGCTGATTACGAATCTGAACTTAGATTTTGAAAAAGTCGGATCCCGGACACAAATTCGGAATTTGACCCCGGACATTGTTGGACATTGTACAGAATGATCAGTCTTTCATATGCAGGTAGAACTCATCGAGTTGCATCGAATGACACCAAAATCGATGAAATCCGACGTGATTGGACTGAGATACAGACCCCGGAATATTGAAAAACCATAGGGGTGATTTTTTGGAGTAAAAAAAAGTTTAGGCAAATGATACCTCATTCGAAAGAGCTCGTCGAGTTGAGTCGAATGACACCAAAATTACAGTGATTGATCAAGTTTTGTCAAGGTTATGACATAAGTTTTTTTCAAAATTTTGAGAACTTAATATATTTTGGAAAAGAGCAATCGAGACGCGTTTTATCCTGTTACACTGCCCCCGACAAGTGTAGCAATTTTACCCTTAGCTGAGGGTTATTTGACTCGAGTAAATAATTTATTCTACCAATGTGAAAAGCTACTCGGGGTTTTGGGTTAAACTACCGGGTTATTTAACCCTGAACCCAGAGTAGGAATTTATGCTGCGGGTTGCGAGTTATTTGACCCTCGGGTAGGGGTTAAATAACCCTTACCCCGAATTTATTCTACGGGCCCAGAAAACCTACAAAAACCCAAACCTGGATAACTTTCAGATCGCCTGATCAAGAACGTGCCATTTGAGCATGGACGCAAACATCTTTAAAAAATCAAGAACAAATTATAATTAAAATTTTCTTACTTTTCTGTTTCGTCACGAGATAAAGACTTGTGGAACCATTGAGCTGAAATATAAATTTTAAACCAAATTTAAAAAACAAAAAAACCTTGCGAATCCACCGGATCCAAATTTATTAGATTGGAATGATTCATCTCTTAAAAAAAGTTAAAAAAGTAACTAAGGTTTTAAAAATTCCCACTTTTAAATTTAGCTTGGCAGAAAGTTTAATAAATATAGAAAAATTGGCAAGTAACGCAGAGAAATGGCAAGTAACCATTTAAAAAGAAATGGCAGGTAAACCCGTACCCTGTAGGGACATAGCATCTACGCTGCTCAGTTCTCTTTCACAATCCTCTCATTCGGTCATACCCTCATAAAAAGCACTTGGCTTCCCCCGCTCAGTGTTTTTGACCACTTTTCTAGGCCGATATACATCAGTGGCGGTCCCAAAACTAAACACTTTAAGGGCTGACGCCCATACACAACACGCCTCGAATTCGATTCTTTAACAATTCGCGCTGTCTTTTAATTCTTTCAAATTTAGAAACTTAAAGATTAAAAAATTTTAATTAAGAAATAATTTATATCTCATACCTAATAAGTCAGCCTTATGTTTCATAAATTCCCGTTTCTCGTTTCTAGTATCAAGAGTTTCTTCCTTTGAAGGAATAAAGGGTTTGATTCTCTCGTCAGAGTTATTCATACTTTAAAGAAAAAAAGTTTTTTTAGATTTTTAGTAAATAAAAAAAATTGTTGAGTATGATTCTGCGAATTTTTCGTTTTAGGTATATAACTACAGTATACCATCAAAAAACTAAGATTAAGGAGGAAAAATATAAATATAAAATAAAATTTATAAAATACAAAATATAAGGATAAGTACTTTTAAAAACATAATTTTTAAATAAAGTTTTCTTCTTTATTGCTTAACTAAAATAAAAGCAAAGAATAACTAAATATCTATCTATACATATTTACTAAATAATTTTTTAAATTTTTGTTTTCAAATAAAGATGTGAAAGCAAATTTTTATAAATAAATTTTTTTAATGGAAATAGAAAAATCAGCTTTTTATAAAGAATAAATTACAATAAAATTATTTTTAAATAATATTTCTAAATTTTGTTTACATTTATTTACACATTCTTTATTTAAAGACATTAAAAATAAATGTAAAATTGGGATTTATTAAAGGGAATTTTTCTAAGCACTTAATATCCAATAAACAATTGAAGAAAAAAACAAAAGAATAAATAATATGTTGAATTTAGAGCCCGGACCCAATCGTATTTCTCGGTATTTATCGGCATTCCATATCGGTACTACGGTACGGAATACCGAAACCGATAAAATTTTGAAGTTGATCAGTATTTATCAGTTTCGGTATTCTTCGGTTTCCGTCCCGTTCTACGATACTGAAAAAACTAAAATATCGACAATACGGCCGATGAAGAATAATTTTTTTTTATTTTAAGTTAAAAAAGGCTTGACAATTTCCAAAATTTTTAGTTACAATAGAGGGATATAGAGGGTTTTGAGTAATTAAAATGGATTTTGACGACGCCCTCCCACCTGCGGCAACCTTTATGTGAAACAACTTTCACTTTCTCGAAATAGCATTATTTTCAAGCTTCGAAATGTTTCCAAAATTTCCTTCTTCATCCTGAGTAGAGAAGCAGATTCTTTTGAATCTTTATTTAAAAAATGCTTGAGACTTTAATGTTTAATGAGTATAATGTTTAATTAAGTTTAGATATAATTAATGTTTAGATTTAATGTTTAATTTAATTTTTCTAAGTTTAAAAATTATTACACTAATTGCCGATGAAAAATAATATACTATAACTATTATATCCTATAACTTTTTAAAATTCCGTAATTCCGCGCGGGATCACGCAAATTTAAAATGCGGGATTTATCCCGCAAAATTCTGTCCCGCAATAATTTTAAAAAAGATCTAGGAAAAAATAGGCATTTGCCTAAAAATCCTAGCTCTAATGATAAATAAAAAATACAAAGGTTGAAATAATAATTCCTTCGCTCAAATAATTAGCCCGTTTCTATTTATTACCCCCTACAGCGAGAGATCGACACAATAATTAACCAGGGAAATTCAACAGTTTATAGTGTATGGTATGATTGGCGTCAAAAAATCTTTAAAATAAGAAATTTTTATTAGAAAGTCTTTTCATTTATAGAAAAATTATAAATATATTTTAGATTAAGGTTGTGTATTTAAATAGAAACTAAGTAGACATTAAACTCTTAAATACTTTCTATAAAATTAAAGTAATACTAAAATGATAAATTGCATTGTTTTATATTTATTCAAATCTTCCATGCTTTGGACCAAGTGAGTTAGGTCGATTTACTTGTGTTATTTCCCAATAAAGAGGCAAAATAAAATTACTCATTTTAAAATGAATCGGATAAAAGAAGTCGAAATCTCTCCTGACGAAGACGAATAGTCGTTTGAAAATTTAATTTTTAAATGAGTAAAATTTAATTTAAAAAATGATCATTCAAATGATGAAAATATAGGTTGAAAATATAGAAAATATTTTTCATAAATTCGATTAAAAAATGCAAATATTATTATTATCCTTATATTTTCGTTTAAATTTTTTCAATATTTAAAAAAGCCTTGTACAGGCAGAGCTAATGGTGATTGATAATCAATGAGATTTCTTTGTTGAAGTGTTACTTGGAGTGTAACGTGACAGAAATTCAGCAACCGTATGAGCAGCTGCTGATGTAGAAGGATCAGAAAATATCTGTTCTCCTCCAAGAGCATATAACAAACTAACAGAATCAGATTGATGACGAGAAAAATAAAAACAAAATTTTGAACTATACATCAATGTTGTAAAAGTCGAAATCTCTCCTGACGAAGACGTGTTGGAGACCACAAGTAATCTCCAACCATTTCTCTATAGATAGAGGTTTTGTCGTCGCGAAGGTCAAGTCGAGATCGGATTCAAATGCTGCTAATTGAGAGGATGAAGAACCAGAACAGAAGCAGTAGTTAGTTCCGGAAAACATAACTTTCTTTCCTTTATTGCGTCTTTGATGATCTTAAACACTTGTTGTTTTCTCTCGTTCTCTTCATCGATCTGTTGGTGGAATTCA